AGATAGGGTCTCCCTGTCCCAGCTTGGAGGGCAGTGGCACAATCCCAGCTCACTGCAGCCTCCACCTCCCAGGCTTAAGTGATCCTCCCAACTCAGCCTCCCAAATAGCTGGGTCTACAGGTGTGTATCACCACAACTGGCTAAATTTTTTTATTTTTTGTAGAGACTAGGTTTCAACATGTTCCCTAGGCTGGTCTCAAACTCCTGGGCTCAAGCAATCTACCTAACTTGCCTCCCAAAAGGCTGGCATTATAGGCATAAGCTAGCACACCTGGGCTGTTTTAAGCTCTTAAAGTTAAAATCAGCCATTTTTATTCACAAATTACTCATGAAGAGATTGTTTTCCCTTGCAACTACAAATGTCAGCTCACTCTCCTCTCTGTGGCTAATTGATGTCAGAAAAGGCACATCTCAAATGTATACAGCAGTGAAGGCTTCATCTCTCCTTCACAGGAGCTAATTGAATATGGCTCCTCATCTTCGTCCTGGCATGCAGGCATTGAGTGTAAGAAAAAATGATAGTCACTAATGACAACCTGAAGTGGGCACTAGTTACCAGATTTGGGATAGATGGCGCCATAGAAGAAATTAAACTTATATTCAGTTTCACAGATGGACATGAGGCAGAGGCAGGGAGAGGTGGGAGAACAGCCTTGAATTTGAGAAACAAAGGGACATTCCTCAGCAAGTAAGAAATAAATGACTTCTTTCATCCTAGAGGTTGTTAAGGAAAAATAGAGCCCCTTTATTTGTTAAACAAATAGTCCAAATGTGCAGTATGCTTTATATGGACCACAGGCAAATATATTGGCTATGGTATTCTTAGCGAAACCCATTACAGCTCTTCTTAAAGTATGACCTTCTATATATCCATCCATTTGATTAGCCCTAGGGGAAACAGCCCAGGAAAACCCTATCATTAGAACACATACTTCATCAAAAAATGGATATCACACATTTAAACTATTCTGACCCCATGTCCCTATCCAGTGAATGTGTGTTGTCTTTGTTTCACGCTTGTACTCACCTTGGTGCTAAACTCCTCTTCTTCACCAATTCGTGAAAAAAATAGTTCACAGCTTGTTTTTCAGGGTTTGTAAATTTACCAAACATTTGGGACATTTTTGAGGAGGTACTACACACAATTCCACCATCTATCTCTTTTATCTCTTTTCCTTCTCCTTTACCGTTTTCATCGATCTCTTCTTCCCTATTCAAATTAATTCAGTATTCCCTTCTGTCAGTTAGGACAGGCTGAGTTGTTCTGTGGCCAAAATAATCCAAAGACTAGTACATTAATATAAGCATTTACAGAGGAATGAGGAATGAGTACATTGATGTACTTGCAGAGTGCTTATGGAGATTATCTAAGCCTAAGCTTCACATTCATATCTTTTATACCATGGATAGGTATTCAGATACTAAAAACATTATAGTAAGGTGGACTTTATGGTTTCCTAAAAGGTAAGGTTAACTTTATTTTGTCCCAATGGTTCCTAAATTAGTATTTGCTTCTGAATCAAAAGATAACTTTAAAAAAATTCAGATGTGTGAGCTCTACTTAAAAACATTTAGATTCAGTGGATTTGATGTGGGGTTCATGACTGTAAATTTCTAACAAGCTCCCCAGGTGATTTTCCAGGTTTGAGAACCACTCCTCCAGTTCAGGGGTCAGCAAACCTGTGAGCCAAATTCAACCAGCCACCAGTTTTTGCAAATAAAGTTTTACCGGAATGCAGACAGGCCATTTGCTTGTATATGGTGTTGGGATGCTTTTGTGCTATAACAGCAGAGTTGAGTAACATGAGAGAGATTAAAGACTGAAATATTTACTATCTGGTCCTTTGTAGAAAAAGCTGGCTGATCCTGCTCTTTTCTGTTTCATAATAATTTTCAGAGTCATATTATTACTTGTGATGGGAACTAAGTAAGGCAGTGTAGGTAACTGCTAATGAAGACAACACCTAGACTGACTTCTTTACAGTCATCTTCACAAGATGATCCTTTTCAAGACATAAACAGCCAAATTATTTTCTTCCTGAGTTACACTGACCCCTAATGGTCAGTGTTAGAAATGTTAAATCCCAGCTACTTAATCACAGTTGTCCCCTATTGTTAATTAGTTCCTAAAATTGGGGTCATACTCACAGACTTTGTAGGAGACTTTAGACGTCAGAGTTCACTTGGTAGAACTGAGCAGGATCAAACAGCCTGGGAAAAGGGAGGCAATTTTAGTGAGAACTAGAATCCCTTTGTTTTGCAGAGTTCCTTTCTCTTCAAAGACTGTTACTCAATGTAGCATTTCCAAGTATACAGGTCATTTATTCCAAAGTGATAAATTTTCTCAGGACATTTTGACCATTGGTGGTGCCTCGTCTATCTGTAAAGTTGAAGCACAATACTATCAATATGGTCAAAATTACATGTGCCTCCACTAAGATGAACTGTGAAGAAAGCTCACAGAGGAATCTGGATGCCTGTAAGCAGATACTGAGATGGTTACCAATGGGGATCACACATATGTTGGCAATAATGAGATGGCCAAGGTGAAACCATTGGTTTTTAACCTTGACTACTAATTAAAATCCACTGGGGAGCTTTTAAAAAATAATGATATTCAGACCTCAACCCCTGGAAATTCTGATATAATTGGTCTGGGGTGAGGCCCAGGCAGCAGTCTTTAGTTTTTCAAGTTCTCCAGGTGATGGTAATGTACAGCCAAGGTTAAGAACCATTTTCTTCTGCTGTAACAGTGCTTCCCAAATTTTAATTTACATTCAGATCACCTGAGAGATCCTTTTAATTGCAAATTGTGATTCAGGAGGTCAGTGATACTATGTAAGAATCTTTTTCTTAACAAGCTTCAGGGTGATGTTGATGCTACTGCCTGAGGATCATGCTTTGAGTAGCAAGGAAATAAATTATCCCTAGCCACAATTTTTATGCAGTCTCAGTATTTTGAGATCTTACACTACATAAGCATCACCTGGGAGCTAACTAAACGTGCAAACTGTCAAGCTTCCCAAATTTTTACCAAACGTCCCAAGTGACTGTGAGATTCATAATCTGAGGACCAAATACATACTACCCTACCCAAATGATACTAATTCTACAAATCCCATTAAAAAAAAAAAAAGGCAGTAGCATTGTTTATTAATTTACAGGCTGCCCAGATCAAATTCAGAGAAACTTTTTTTCTTATTCCAGGTCAAAAAACATAGGTAACACCCTCCATGGCCACTGAGGAAGGAGAACTGTGCAGACCCCAGGCACAGTTAGTGCCTGAAGCACAGCTCACTGCTTACTATATCTAGCTTATAGGTATAATCATACTTAGTTCTATATAATCTTTCTATATAATCACCTAAGTATTGTAGTCGGAGCTGTACTGACACATTTAGTGCTGATTTATATAATCATTCCATATAACCATTACAGTAGTTTGTAGTAGGAGGAATGCCTAGAGCAGTCACAGAACAGAAGCAGTACGTAGGAAAACAGCCAGACTAGGACAAGAACCAAAGACCCAGGTGGTGACGTCCCTGCCTGAAAGGGCATATGCTATACGGCAGGCTTGGAGCAAGAGCCTCTCCTCCTGATAAAGGAGTTGTAGTACCTTGCATTCAGTTCCTGGGGAAAGTAGGCCTCAGGCCTGAGATCTTGGAAATAACCGAGGGAGAAGAACCCTCTGGTGTGACCAGTCATGGTGGCTGTACACCCTGTCAGTTTTTTCTTGCTTCTGTGCTAGCTCTGTCAGTTCCCACTGCACTGGCTTACAGTATCCTTCTATCAGAAATCCTTTGAAGTCTCCAGCCCCCAGATAAGAAGTGTAACGCACCACACTTGTTGCACACAGCCCACCTCCTTGCCTCAGTGACCTAATGGGGGTGGACCCCTTTTCTGTACACGACCCTCTACTACTACAAACGGCACAGCCCCCTACTGTGCACAGCCCACTCCTCTGCCCAAGTGACAATAATGGGGTGGCCCCCTCACTTGTGACTCACGATTATGTATGCCCTATTACTAAGCCTACAGATGATGACCTCACTCACGACCCTGCCCACTGCTGGTACCTAATAAATACAGATGCTTCTGGGCATTTGGGGTTCTCACTGATCTCCTCTCATAGGTTGCGTGCCCCCCTTCCCCCAGTCCAGCTGCTTTTCACCAGTTCTTCAGTTTCCTGTCTCTTTACTTCTCAGATCCTGCACCTCAGCACAACATAAGGGACTCCCCACGACGCTGTGGGGCCCTACAACCCTACAGGAAATGAACCACCATGGGTTATCTTAGGTCTGTCCAAGGAAGACCCCGAAAGAATGAACAAACATTAGTAAAGAGGATGCCTAAAGTATCATTGCATTACTTACAGCTGGGCAAGGAGTGAGCAACAGCTAGAATAGAGCTGCAACAGCCCTGGTCAAGGGAGCTGAAGAGTAATCTCCAGTGCAGGGTGATGTGGATGGGGTTGCCTAAGTAACAGCCGCGGCGGAGGTAGAGCAGCTGGGACCCAGCTCTGTGCTCCCTGTGAGGGACGCCGGCCAGGAGCCTCGAGTGGGGCGGAGACAAGGCAGAGACAGCCTTAGTCAGAGCACCAGTCCACACCAGCGTCCCACCCACTGCTGGTCTCGCACAGTCGCCACTCGCCAGGTCCTTCCGCAGAGCCCACTCCCGCCGCGCCGCCCCGCCCCGTCCCGCGCCGCCCCGCCCCGCCCCGCGCCGCGCCGCGGCGACC